TATATATATATATACACACACACACACACACATATATATATAGTCAGGTATATTTTATAGTAACCTAAAATAGTAATTCCATTATGTAGATATTATCAGTCAGATAATTTCCATCTTCATCCCATGTTTGACCCAGTTCTCTGTTTGATTAAAAGCTATTCTCTGCTATGGGTGCATATAGGTGAAAAGTTTTCCTATTGGGGGAACTAGCTATCTATATTTATCTCTTTATATATGTTTTATCTTGTGTGGAGAATAAAAGAATACAGTGAAAGTCACACCAGCATGTACATGGGAAGCCAGCTCGCTGCAGCCTTCAGCTGGTTTCTAAGAGCTGCGTTTTTCTTGCTGTTAAGCATTTCCCTCTTTCCCCTCCCAAGGAATCACATACCAGATTTCATTCTCCTTGAGAACCACTGTGACTTTAGGCATCTCTATTGATAGCAGAGGAGAAACTTAAGATGCAGATCTATGCATTGGGAGCCCGCTGCTTCTTTAGGGACTTAGGCAATGTGGATCAGTTGCCTTTTCATAGAGAACCTTCTGTTTTCTTCAAAACTGAAAAACTGGCAAAATAAATTTAGAATTAAACAATAGGATTAGAGAAGGAGATTCAGGAACTGTGTAGCGTTGATTATATGTCTGATGGCTTATGTGTTTGGTGTCCACAGAACCAAGAGTGGAGAATACATCAACTTTTTTCGTAGTCAAATGATTTGCAGATTCTGCTGTCCCTGGCTCATGTGATCGATGGCCAACATTTGGTGCATTGCAAAGCACTTGGTATTCATAACTTCTCTGAATAACTTTGTTTTTAATTTTACAAGAATTAAATCAGGGCCTGGGGAGATAGCTCAGTAGAATAAGCACTTGCCTGGCAAGCGCAGGGTCCTGAGTTCAATCCCCGGTACCGCAAAAAAAAAAAAAAAAAAAGAATTAAATCAAAGTGGCATGCCTACTCAATCTTTGGAGAATCTTATTTTTTTTTTTTCTGTTTCGCTATTTAAAATTTTTTATTCATTTTAATGAGAAAATAAAATGGCACTGAAACAGTTTCAAGAAAGGTTAGTAGGACAGTTATAGTAATTAATACATTGCATATTATTGTCTTCATAGTGATTATTCAGAGGACCAGATGCAGACATGTGGAGAATCTTATTGAAAACCTGTTACGTAGCTCAGGCACTGTGTACACACTAGGAGTACAGTGATGAACAAGACAGATGCGGTCCTAGCACTCCTCGAGTTAATATTTCTAGTAGAGAAGAACAGAAAGAAACCAGTAAACAAATAAATAATATTTACATAAAATAGGGGAAACTTACATACTTAGCCTTTTCTATGCTTTTTGACATTTTATATGTAAATTAATTCTTAGAATATTTTCCTTTGTTTCTTTGTATTTTTCCTGGATCCCCACAGTTTGTTTCAGGAATTTATCTTTCTTTGCCAAAGCTTTGATGTTGTTTCTGTTTGTCTCCTTTAAGTCATTCTGGGTAGTTCAGTCATCATTTCTGCTCATACAGTGGCTGTGTTGCCAAGCCTTTGTGCCAGTCCAAATGGTCAGAATCAGGACCAAATGAGGTTTGGATCAGAAGCCCAGAATTGAGCCCGGAATCAGGGTAGGTATGCAGCTGAAGGAATGAGGTTCTAGACATGAAGGAACAGAAACAGTTTTGCTAAGCTAAGCATTGGGTTTTCAGAGGTCCAAATGAGGATTAAAGAAAATGCCCTGTTCTGCTAAATCCAGTGAGACCAAAAAATGCAAAACAGTGTCAGATTGAGTGGCTGAGGTGTCATGGATAAATCTGTCACAAGCTGTTCAGTAGGTGTTAGTTTGCAAAGCTAATCCCTCATGGCCCAGAGCTCTACACCAGTAGCCTTGAATACCATCTCCTATGCAATGTTTCAGGAATGGTAATAAATAAATTAAAAAGCATTAAATTGCAAACACTTCTGTTGCCTTCCCCTTCATTTATTTACTAGAATCATCTCATAGGTCGTATATCAAGCATATAGAAGAAGTAGCAATGAATAGTTTTGCTAGGGCAAAATGCTTAGTCTCTAGTAGCAGGAAATTATATAGTTGTTTGTTACTGCTACTAAACAGGTACACTTTGGTAGGGCTAATTAAAAAATTTTATTCCAAGGAAGATGCCATTTTTATGAAATCTTTTTGTAATTTGAGCACTTAGGGATTGCTACATTTTAACTTGATATGAATTTATCTTTATTAAGTAAAGCAAAAGCATTCCTATTTTAAGCATTGATTTTTTTTTTTTTTTTTTTTTTTTTTTTGTATTTTAGGGAAGAGTCTAGGGTGTTCAGGGTCTCACTACCAAATCGACTCAATGATCTGCCTGTTTACAGCCTCCTAAGAGCTCGGATTATAGGCGCGCGCCACCACCCCAGTCTCAATTGCTGTCTCAGCGCATCCAGGGGCGGGGCCAGCGCGGCATGCCCCTGTGCCTGCTTGCAGGTGCTTTACCCCTCTGAGCTATTTGGCTGGCCCTTAAGCATTGATTTCTGAGCAGAAATACTTGTGTACAATACTTTTTTCAGTGTCCTCAATAATATAAAATTGTGAATAAAAAGGGGATCTATTTGCTGGTATATTGTTAAATGATGGATGCTTCTTATTTTGTGGTAAATTTCTATATCCTTTCCTATACATGAAACCCTTAAGTATTTTCCCTTTTAATCTTTCTAATCTATGAGTGAAAAATACAGAACTGTAATTATTTTTTCATTTAATACATTGGTTACTACCACTGTTGGCCTCCTCTGTGCACCTAAACCCTTGTGAGTTATGGCATGTTTGCATGAGATTAGCCTTGACTGAGGAGATGATACCAAGCAACAAAAGCTTTATATAATAAATGATCGGCAGGGAGGCAAAGGAGATATTTCGCACAACAGATACGACATCTCTCCTTGTCTTTTTATTCAAACACATCTTTTTGCACATACTACAATTAACTACAACGCCAATAGGTTTTCCTTTTATGCTTTGGTAGAAATAACTTTTAAAATATTGCTTTAAGAATCTCTATTTTCTTGTCTTTAAACAACACTGATATTTGTAATGGTTTTGATCCTAAATCTTCTTTGTTTCTTGGTAATCACTGTTTATGAACAATGATTTTTATTTGACAGTTTTCATTCACTGTTTTCTTAATTACATTTTTAGTCAAATGAAGGTGGTTCAGCAACCTCTAGGCTATCTGGATGGTAGTAGAGTGGTCTAGTTGGTTGGTCAAATTGGATGATCTGTTGTACCAAGTAAAAGTCTTCCCTCCCGGTCCGTGTCCTGTGCAACCCACCCCCCCAAGCTCCCTCTTTCCCCTGCAGTGCCGGGCCTGCCCCCGGGGCGTGTTGAGCCAGCAATTGAGACTGGGCATGGAGGCACATGCCTGTAATCTCAGCCCTTGGGAGGCTGAAAATAGGAGGATCACTATGAGTCCGATCTGTGTAGTGAGGCCCTGTAGACCCTGTACTAAATACATTTAAAAAAAAACCCAACAACTCATTTTTCTTTTGTTCTCCTACCTCTTTTTTTTACTGTACATAAGGGGTATTCCAATGATAATTTCTTATTCTTTTTTTAAAAAAAACATCGGGGCCGGGGAGATGGCTCAGTGGAATAAGCACTTCCCTGGCAAGCGCAAGGGCCTGAGTTCAATCCCTGGTTCCACAAAAACAAAACAAACAAACAAACAAAAAAAAAAAACATCTACTGTGGAGAACAAGGAGTATAAGTCAGTGTAGAGTGTTAGCCTAGCTTGTTGTCTGAGCCTGAGCACCACAAACATGAATGAATGCCTGTGGTATTGATTTCATAACCTCCTACTGGGCCATCAACAGGAATCTGAAAAACACTAATTTAGAAGTTTGTCTGAAGATATAAATAAGTCCTTAATCATTTGAGCATTCTCTCAACAGAGTATTATTTGCAAGGTCATGTTTAAGTGTTCAAAGTATTCAGAGAAAGCAGTTACCGTATAACCTCTAGCCTTATAATCAGCTGTTTCTGTTTATTTAATCTTAAAGTCCAGT